GGACCGGGTAGGGTCGTTTTGCCCCTCCTCCTCCTTCCCTCCCTCCCCCCGGTCGCATGCCTTCCTGAGCCGGGAGGGAGAGGGACGAGGCCTTGGAGGTGGTCGTTGAAAGGTACACGTCCCACGTGGTCCGCGGAGGGGTACTCGTCCTGGTGGCGGGCGGGAAGAGGGGAGGGAGGGGGGGAGGGGAAGTGTTGAGCAATGCGGTCAGGAGGGCTCGGGCGGGGGGGAAGTGCTCTCTCACGTGCGCAGTCGCTTCTCTGTGACTCGAGTGAAATGACGCCCGACGTCTTCGCACGGGCATCGAGCCACGGGATGACACGAGTAGCGACGTCTTTGGGGCCCCCTCTTTCCCGGTTCTCAAAGTGCACGCTCTGCGACAATAAGGGACAGCGCACGTTGGGTTGCGACGGAGGCCGTGCTTGTGTCCTCGCCATACTCCCGTCTCTCATCTTTTTCTCGACATCTTTTCCGTCTCACTGGTCCTTGTGCACCGAGGGACAGGAATGCTACTCTCATCCTTACCTGCGTGCATTGCCATTCATCGTCTTCCCACTCTAAGCTTTCCTCCATTCGCACGTAACCCGCTGCGGCTCCCCTTGAGCCACCCCCACCCTCGCCAGCTTCTTTTTCGTGTTCTATGCTGAAAATGGCCGTACCATGCTCCATAATGCGTCCCTAGAATTACCTGCACCTATTTCTAGTGTGATTGGGCGCAACGATTTTTCAAGAAGTGGGGGGGAGAGGCTTAGTATGGGACCAGAGAGGTGATGATGGGCAGACCGACGTGACAAGTTCAGCCATGCCGGCCTCCAGACTCTCCTTCATTCACATCTTAAGCTGAACATGAAGAACGCCTCACAAGGCTGCCTGCGCGCGGGAGACGGTTATTATGCTTGCTACCAGTGGTCTTACAAGTTGAAGGCGTTTCCCCTAAGATCAATGCATGATAAGCACGAGCCCCACGACTCATAATTTTTAACCCCAACGCAGCAAAATTCAACCCTTTAAATCCATCGAATGCATGCCATCGATCCATCTACTTTTTCCATGCCCCGGGAACGGGGCAATTTTGCTTGCCTAGACCCCTTCACATACTTTTATGTGCTCGTGTTTTTTTTTTCCTAGTTGACGATCGCTTGCGCTCGCTGAAGCTTGAGAAGGAATGGACCGAGCCTGTTAAAGCTGTCGTCCACAATTCCTCTTTTCCACCAACTCTCACCGCAAATCATGACACACGATCCCACCAAGACAGATCTTTTGCATTCCTTGCAGGTCGGGCCGCCAACGCGGGCCCGGGCGTGATTTATGAAGTCCCAGGTCCCCCTCTCCACATTTCCTTCAAACCGTCCTATTGAAAAGCATACGTCCCATGATTCTTCTCTAGGCATATCCCCCATGGATAGTGTCCGACATCCTTTCGAAAGCATCGCGGAAACGATCAACGGCGCCGCGGTCCTGCTGGATGCCGGAGCAGGAGAGGTGTACAGATAACATTTCGAGGGGGACAGGCAGGAATGTTGCTATTATCGACTCTCATGCCTCACTCACGTTTATCCCGCGTAGATCGCTCGCTGGGCAGGCGGTGTAAATTTTCTCATGGACGAATTGGGTGCCGGGACCGTGGTGGCGTTGGAAGAGACAGACAACCTGAAAATGGCTTTGCAAGTAGGGATGGAGGGGCGGAAGGGAGGGCGGAGGGAGGGAGGGGGCGTAGGAATGAGGCCGGAGCCGCCCGCTTACTAGGCTCCTAATCCTGTGATTCTCACGACCCGCTCCTTTACAGCCCTTCACCCGCGCAGTCGTCCTCATGACGCAGTATCTGTGGGAGCACGAAGCTTTCCTTCGCACCGCCTTGGGTGATGCCGAGGCGGGGGAGTGGGAGGAGGTAAATACCCGATGTTTGCGAGAAGGAGGAGAAGTGGGGAGTCATGAGGGTTCAAATAGGCGAGAATCGGAGAGAACAGGTGTGGATTTGCCTCCGCCGGTGTCGACGTCGATGGTTTGTCACGGAAACGCGCCCTACTCGCGCATGCCAGGCCTCGAAACAGGAAGCCCCCTTCACCCCCTCCCTCCC